TCTCTCTTTCTCTCTCTGTCTCTTTCTCTCTCTCTCTGTTCGCATGTCCCGAGGCTATGAGATCAATATCATCAGCGAAATAGAGAGAACTTAATGATAAGGACTTCTGTTGAAAATAATATTTTGGATGTATCAAGAGTATAAACTAAATTTTGTTTAAAGAAGGAAAATCAAGATAAAGGCGAATAATAATGCAACCTGAAAAGTGTTCATGGTTGTGACAGGAAAAGAAAAAACAATATTGTCACACGTCGAATACTTTAATTACGGGAAATACACAACACTAATGATGTAATCTTCCATTTTTACTTTCTCGTGTATACGAAGTATAGAGAAAGTATTGTAATCGTGCAAAAAAAAAAATCGAGATTTTTATAAATCTCGACGTTTTACACCTCACTGATACGGAAAAACATAATTTTTCAATCTTGTCCTTATGTCTGTGTGTCTGTGTGTCTGTGTGTGTGTCTGTGTGTAAACACGATTACTTGAGTACCGTTACAGCTAGGTTTATGAAATTTCAAATATAAGTATTTTATCAAAATCATAGATCCGTATCAATTTTTGAGCGATTTCCAATAACCGGAAGTGGTACTTTTTCTACTTTGAATTTTTAAAAAGCCTATAACTTGAGTACTATTTCAGATAGATAAATGAAATTTCACACTTAAGTAAAAGATCTAATTCTCTACCTTCTTTAAAATTTTGAGTAATTTCTGTTGATCGGAAATAGTAATTTACGCTATTTCCGATTTCCCAAAAAACGCATGTAAATTTAAAAAGTACTAATAATATTGCGCACTATTATGCACATTTTGTTTTGGCGTTCGCTTGGTGCGCAATTCTTTTTTCTACGAGATTCTATTCTATTTTTAAAAGTTTAAGCAATTAAAAATCATGTCTATATTCCGAGTTATATAGGAATATTCGAGAAAGTTTAGGGGAGATCACTCCCGGTTTATTAGAATATGACATAATGAACTATTTCATTTAAATTTCATTTATATCTAACCCTGCTATTAAGACGTACGCATTGAAAATATACACATTTAACTTAAGGGCAAATACTAATACAAATTATATAAAAAACAACATAAACACTATTGAACAGTAGTTTTTTTTAACGAAATCTTTTAAGTCTCTTAATCAGTGTGTGCATTTATTGTGGCGTTGTAAAAAATGACGACGACTTCGAAACATACGATTAATAAGACGTCGGTATTAAAAAGAACGTCCTATTGCAACTTAGCTTTAAGCGATATTTAATTGATTTGCTGGAATGTATTTAAGTTTGTCACATACATTTAACTTTGTGTTTCGTTGAATTAACGTGTGCGTCTACGGTAAAAATTATATATGTACCGTAATAATAGAAGTAACCAGTAAAGTGCGCAAATTCAACCGGTAGGAGGGTCTATGCAGCTTCTCTACCGGAAATATAGACTCGAGTATAGTATAACTTGTTATGCACCATAAAGGTAGTTGACTCTGATTTCAGCCTTCTGTTTTTTTGGATTCCCTTCCATAGTCTTTGTCCAACCAAGAACAAACTACAAGGCAGCAGTTGTGTGATTTTGGAGTTGTCGCTCCTAGAAGAGTGGCTGTCCCCAGCTGTCAAGCCTCATATGCCCGGGGTTTCGAACTCGGAACGTATCGGTTTAGGTAACTGAAATTTCTATTCAACTGCCACGTGAAATTACGTCACAGGCAGGTATAGTTTGAGTCAGTAAGATTTCCCCGTGGGCTAAGACACGGGCAGTATAAAGTTTAGTTAAATAAATCAGGTATGTTACCGACTATCACAAGACTAAGCCACGAACAGGGTAACAGTGTACAGTGTGTAATAATGAATAAAAGCTAGATAGTAGATATATTATTTATTGATCTACGTGTTACAATGAGAACTCAATGTACATATCAAAACTGGTAAAGTGAAAATAAGAATTAAAGTAAAACACAACCCAGAACCGTGGAGGTCGGGCCGACGGCCCCAACGCCGCGTGCGACACCACCAGCTGAGCTCAGTGCTGGAAGAGAATGTGAATATTTTTTTGGGTTACATCCCCTTTTATGCATTAAAATTGGCGGTGTGTCACGTGGACAATCTAGCCAAATAGAGAAGAGCCGGTGTGGGGGACGAAATATAAGAATGTACGTAGATGTTGAGGGGGGAGTACAAGCGAATATTTATAGAATATAACAACAAAATGAGGAGGAGGGTTAGGAAGTATAACGTTAAACTGTTGTAGATACAACCGAGTTTTAATTAGCTTCTGTGACATTTTAAATATGCTTTTTATTATCAATTATTTTGAAAATTGATCGACGATGTAATATAACTTCGGGGATCACTAAAATTGTTTTTTTAAAAAGGAAAGTAACGAACGCATTTTTGACAATATAAAACTAGGTGCATTTCGCTCCCTTTGGTAAAACGTAAAATGCTCTTTAGAACACGGCGGTACATCGCGGAAGGTGGAATAGAGTTATCTTGTGTCAGTGACCAAGACAAATGATGGGAAACTGTTTTTAACACTATAACAAGCAGTCTGGAAATAAGAAATAAGGGAAATAATATAAGCGAGTGCATGAGGGAGAGGGTCAGATACATGTTAGTCATTACATCATTTGCGGGGAGTTGGTGTGAATTTGTGACATAGATTATTTCAAGTATCTTTTACCTTCTTCCCACCGAAGAACGTTTACAAAATATTGAAACATATTTAATTTTACCAGTGTACGTTACATGAAATATTTAGTCCGTCCGCATCGCCCAAAACACCGCAATCAAAGTGGGTATGTATAATCAGGCGTCGTTTATTTAACTTAATTTAGATATCGAATCTTAAACTATGTGCCTCTAAAAGTTTTGAAAGACTTTGGAGGAAATAATTACACATTTTCTGAAATCAACTCTACGGCTATCGAGCGAAAACGAACCATTTCTGTTTTCAGCCGTGCATGGGGACTCAGTATGGATTTGTTTCTTGTAGTTGCTGATGACTGCTTCTATCCTGCATTCGTCATTTGCGTCATTTAGACAGGTTCTCACGCGATAGTTTTTCCTAGAAATAATGACGCTTTTGATAGGATATGATTGTATCGAATTTTGTAAATTATCCTTCTACTGAGTACGACGAAAGTCCAACATAAATGACGTCAATCTTTTTATGACGCCTTCTTTTTATTACATGTGTTTACTCGAATCACATTTTTATCATTAACATTCAGCTATTATCTGATTGCGTTAATATCTACAGAAAGACTTTTAGCTGTGTTTTTACCGTTATATATTTTCAAACTTATCTCACCTTATCGAATGAAAAGTATAATTGTAATACTAACTGTGTAGGCCTATTTTGTGATTATTAATTCATTTGTTAGTAAAAATATTTCATTTTACATGTACAAACTTCTAAATAACAGCGATATGTCTATGATCGGCTTGGCCAGTGCTGCAACACTCCGTGTGGTATTCGACATGTATAGACTAACATTAGTGGTCGTGGTCCCATTAACCATTGGTATTCTATGTACCTCACTATACTAAAACTTGTAATCAACATGTTAGTCACCACCTGTGTGACTTTTATTGTACTGGTAATACCTGACACTACAATTCAACTTGTATGTAAGCATTACCTTCCAAGTTATCTCTGACGTAATGCTTGCATGTTCTATCCTGCATTAAACTACGACATCAGTTAATTTCCTCAATCATGATAAAATAAGTCCTAAATTTGCTGAAGCTTTTTCGGTGCCCTAGTCTAACCTGAGTGACAAAAGTCTTCCCGGCGCCGCAGGCGTTTTAAATTTGGCAGGATCCTGCCTTGGGGCTACCGAAAATGGGGGCCGGTGGGGGTTGGCCAACAAGTCCTCGACGAAGGGTCAAAACTGACCACGACTGACCGGCGCCTTATAAGAGCTATATATCGAAAAAAAAATTAAAATGAATCGCCCTTTTGTATAAGCTATCGGTCAGCCTCTGCTCGCACGGCGAGGGCTAAAACAAAAGACCACCAGTGACATTCTCCTTTCATCAGCTAAATCAGGGGTCTCCAAACTACGGCCCGCGGGCCGGATGCGGCCCGCGAGGTCCTCTCATCCGGCCCGCGGAGATCATTTTGTCCACGGAAAAAAAAAACATTTGTTGGTGATGGCTGCGGAACTTTGCTCAGAAAAATCACGACATGTCAGAAATAAACTGGCCCCTGAACTGAAATTTGATAGTCAATGCGGCCCTCGGACTGAAAAATTTGGAGACCCCTGAGCTAAATAAAAAAATGCCTGATATTTTGTGAGGACGTAGACCGCCCCTGGAGGGTTACAAAAAAAAAAAACGTTATGCCCGTCGGAAAAAAAACATTATGGTCGTTAAATATGCCCAGATACCGTATTTTCTTATATAAGCATAGCAACTGTTTGTGAAAAGAAAGTTAGCAATGACTACGTCATTCGGTCAATTTATAAGGGAAGTAACTGTTTAAAATAAATATTTTTCAATTTTATATTATTTTAAACACAAACAGAAAATGACGAAACATAGCATTTATTTGAAAAATATTTGTGTTAAGGATTAAAGTATTTATCCTAATTAAATTGTAGTAATTAATTTTAAAAGTCCATATAATATAACTAATGAGTTATACTATACCTTCGTAGTTCTAATTAGGTTTCAAGTAATAAAAAACGAACATTCCAGCAAAATTCTTAAAATTACTATTACTGTTTAATCTTAAGCTTTCCATATCAGCCAATCACTAATTAATTAAGCATTCCAACTCTCAAATGTTTTTTAAAACATAAGCGAAGCTAGGCAGAATGCCTGGTTGGGTCATATTTAAACAAAACTACACTTTTTATTTGTAACAAATATATTAAATAATAAAATCATGTCCATATTTCTATGATCAGGTGATTCCTTGCACATTTGTATATCAATTAGATACTTTTGTATCATAAAATTTGGATGCATATTGTTGGAGGCAATTTGCTTTCCTTTAGATATTTTGATATATCGAGCTGTTGTAGTCTATGGGCAAGTCATAGTTATGTGTTGGGTCATTGTCTTGATCTTCCTTTATATGTTTACATATTCTTTGTATTGTTTCGTTAACAGTGTCATAATTCTCTTCGCCTGTTAAAATCAGAACAGTAAATTGTCATACGAAATAGTTTAAAAAGAACAAATATTAAAAGTTCTTTTAAACCTAAAAGAATTATCTCAGTAATTTGAATTACGGGAGAATTATTTATAAAATATTGTTTACTTACTTTTGTTTGTGGAATCGGTTTGCGTTCCACATTCTCTGTGAAAATAAAAACATTTTATTTTATATTTTTGATAACAACGTGCATTTCTTTAATTATCGGCGTATTAATTGTATTAATTGTAGAGGATAACACATTTTGCAAAGACCATGTATATTACTGTGTTTTGTAAAATATAACTAACAGCTGTTTAATCCAGTTGTGCACACTGACACGCCGTTTAGGGTAATCAATTACGTCGCACACTATATATGACAAACTACCACAAAAGGGTTACAAAATACAAGCCTAAATAAAACAATAATACTAAAAGTGTTTAATCCAATTACGACTAGCTACACAAACACGGGCTATTCTAAATACTAACACAAACTAGTTTTAATGTTATGATACAGTGGCTATATAAAGTACCAGTAGCGTAGCGAGGGGGGGGGGGCGGGGGGACATATGTCCCCGGGCGCCGACCTTAGGGGGCCCCAAAATGGGTTGGAAAAATAAATTGAAAGGTTGAGGGGATGCAAATTGAAAGTTTGGGGGGGGGGGGGGTGCAAATCGAAATCTTGAGGGGGTGGGGGGTGCAAATCGAAATCTTGAGGGGGGTGCAAATCGAAAAGTTTGTCCCAGGGCGCCGGGAAGGGTCGCTGCGCCTCTGTAATACACTAACCTGGTAGAACAACTAGACTGAACTGAAGCGATCACACACCGTATATACTCACACACTAACAAGTACTAACTGGAATACGATTACGTGACTGTAACAACTCACAGCACCAGGATTAAACAGGGACGAACGGGAGGGGGGGGGACACAAAGTAGCCTACAAAGTACAAACAAAATTCACCCCCATCCATCTTTTCACTGATTCACTACATAACCCTCTTAGATAAAATTAACCGTATAACGTATTAGATTTGTTACTACACAATAGGAAACTTTTAGTGGTATAAAATATTCAAGGATATGCCAGAGTAGGACAAGGTGGCTTTTGCAAACCGAAGAATAAACCTCTAAGGGGAATGATTTTATACTATAATGTTGCTCTGTTGTCTCTAGAAATAGGTACTATTCATAGATGGGTGAAAGCAATAAATATCAAACCCAAAGAAGATCGAACAATAGGCAGACGTAAACTAAGATCGATTGATAATAATCAGCCAACCAACAACAGCTTGAAGTTTAGACATGGAAGCAGAACACATCAGACAAGAATGCAAGAAGGTTGGAAAAGAGAAATATAAATTATTTGAGTTCAAATATTTTCTGTGCAATTCTTGCGGGAACATCCATAGCATCCATATATTTAAGCACATTATGTTTAAGTTTCCTATGTTCATTTTAGATGCAGATTTTGAAATGTTGGTCTTTTTTATGTCAACAATTTTAGTATCACCGCTCTGATTTGCGTATCATTTGTACCATTTGTATTTCAACTTTTACAATGGGCTTTAATATAGTATATTCCATGTATTTATATTTCATACTTATTTTGTGCTTAACTTTATAAAAATGTAGATACATACAAAAACTGCAATTTGTTCATTACTTCTATGATATTAGTATTTCATTTAAATACATCGAAATTCAATGAGGTGAGTGCAATGGTTTATACGAAAAACAATTTTTTTTTTTTTTTTTTTTTGTTTTTTTTTTTTTTTTTTTTTTTTGTAAAAAGAAAAATAAATGTCAAAAAATGTTGTTGAAATTCCAGCAAGTAAATGATTCCTTACCTTCGTGACCTTCGTCTCTTTGTCACTAAAATGGTAAAAAAAGTGTGTTATTTTGAGATTTTTTATATGAGTTTGCTTTCATAATATATTAGGTAAAAAAAAAAAGCTTTAGTGCCAAGGATTAACTTTACACGAAAAACACATTTTAATAGTTTATTTTACACATGCAATAGCTTTAATGATAAGTGATGACCTGGTTGATTGTATGAGGTCACAGTGGTAAAAAAAACCTCAACTAATAGAGGTCTCAGATATCAAAGAACTGCTTGTTTCCAGATGTTCTTTATTAAATAAAGCAGGGGTCTCCAAACTTTTCAGTCCGAGGGCCGCATTGACTATGAAATATCAGTTCGGGGGCCAGAGTTTCTTTAAGGCATCTCTTCGGGGAGGGGGCGCCCCCCCCCCCTCCCAAAGAACGTTTACCGAAATATAATTTATATAGAAATATTAACAAATTTAAGTGTCCAAGGCCTACCCCCCCCCACCCAACCCCCACGGAGAA